GAAAATGGAAAGGTTGACCCAAAAAGAAAAGGAAGAAAAAAGGGCATTCAAATGTGGTATGTGAAAATGAGATCTCAGACTTTTTCTTTTTCTTTTTCTTTTTTCCAATTTGGAATTTCTTCTCCCTTTTTTTTCTTTTGTTTGTGTGTGTCTCATGATATGTGGCATGTGAAAACCCAACTAAATGACCAACTAACTGTTGATCCATTAGTATTTCTCTTCTCAATCGTGAAGAGATTCCAAGTTCGAATCTTTCCATTTAAAAAAAAAAATAACTAAATGCAAATAGTATACTTGCGAAAATAAAATGGGACTGAACAAATGAAGTACTTTAGAACTGCACTTTTTTTTATCCAAACAAAACAAAAAGTGCTTTTTTTTAATTAATTTTTTTTCCAGTCTGGGCACATTATTGATATGGAAATTTTCGGTAACCCCTGTTAAATCATGGTTTGCTTTTGGCACATTGATTCCAAAAAAGATTTGACTTTAAAATAGTGAAGAATAGAAGAATCTGATTGGGCCTATTCAAAATTTAGGACTAACTTATATGCTTGGGCCTTTGCTCGAAAAGAAAGGCTTGCTGGCCTAAATAGAAGTGGTAGGTGGTGGTGGTTGCAGGTGGAGAGAATGTTCCATTGAAGGTGGAGTTTAAAGTTGATTTGGTTACATATAATTAGGGTTGGCCAAGCAAAGCAACTGAACTGGCTAGGTTGCAGAAAAATAGGTACGCAAAATAAATGCTTTGAATGGGACATGGAGGAGACGGAGGTGTTATAGGGTACTATGGTCCAGGCAGGCAGGGCTTATCTTTGGAGTTGGGTCCACGTATAGGTGCTTTCTGAATTTAGGTTTGGTCTGTATGATATTTGATAGGTTGGTACTACCAAGATTTAAGGTATGAACTTGTTGGCAAACTGTAAATGAGTAATATCGGCCCACCCATAAAATAATTTATCACATATTTACTAATTATTAGTAATGAGTATTGGTCATGTTCCATTCCGTCTCATGTAACCCTAGAAATTGTCCAATTATCTATCAAAGCCAAAGACTGAGTGAGCTATATACCCCAGCATCTATAAAATAAATAAAATTAAAAAAGATATTTGTTGAAGACTTGTATTTCTTGTCTAGCTAGCCACCTGAGGTTTTGATTGTGTATTAAGATATGTCGTTTTGGCCTTTGGGGCATTCAAAGTAGTACTAGCAAACTGTCTTATATATTTACCATAGGCTCTGGGGGCAACTTAGAATTTTGAAAGGGTATAACTGTAGTAGTTCAAATGTATTTCTGGTGAGCCTATGGTCTTGTGACTACCTAATCTTCATTTATATTTGATGAGTTATAATTATTACTATTATTATTATTATTATATTGGGAGGAAAGAAACCTTGGGTGTCAAGCAGGGGGAACGAGGAGAGCCACAACCATTGTGATAACCCCGCTTGACATTTGATAAGTCTTTTTTATTCTCATGCTCAGAGCTTTTCTTTTCTTGACACAATTGGGCAACCATGGCAATACATAGATTTTTTAGATCGCGATGTCTTATTTGCTTATTAATCATTATTTCTTGTAAATAATAATAATAATCTTACTAATTGGGCTATTAAATAATAATGTTATAGATTTTGTTGGTGTTTATTTTTCTGTCAATTTAAAGTCTCACCTTTTTAGCTGCAAAGGCTTATCAATTTTCAATAGATTTTCGTACTCTGATCCAAGCCGATCCAACTTTTTCACTAGAAACAGTCCCATATTAGCACATTCGCAATGTGCATGGTATCCATCAATAGAAGCTTATTCTATAAATATATATATAACTTTAACAAGTAAAGTACGCAGCTGTTGTAATTGCCGAAGCTTTGTACTTTTAAATTGCACCCCCATTGATAATTACACAAGCAAGGCCTGCACCCTGCAGCCTGCAGCCTGCAGCTTCTTACTTACCATCATCAATTATTAGTTTAATTAGTTTAATTAGTTTTATCACATTCACACTGATGCTGACCCGCTTGATGATGAAATCATAGATTTCTTCTTTACTGTTAGAAAGACAAGGAAGGTGCACTCTCATTGGAGCTCGAAAGGGAGAGAAACTTGCACACGGCACATATTCCTTTTCTCTATATTTTTTTTTCTTTCATATCACTTATATACTCGTTACATGTAATTTTTTTTTCGTTCACGGAGGGCCAATCAGTGAAATAGGATCATTTCACAATTCTCATGAACACACAGTTCATGATCATACAGTAAAAATTAAATTAATGTGAGTTAAGTGGGATCTATGAATAGTTGAAGAGCCATATTCTAACTACATGTGATTGGTCGAAAAGAGCAACGTATATCACACCCCAGAAAACCTAAAGTCAACCGTTTAGATTAGGGTCCTTTCCGTGGTTTGAGGAAGTAGCTCCAATATTTTTTGTCCCACTAGAAGAATATAACTATTCTTATATATTTCGGTGCAACAAGATTAATTCGCATATCTTTAAGCAAATTCATGTCACATCTCACAATAAAACTATTTATAAGGGGAGTATTGATCATCTATCCAAATCAATGACTCGTTTATGAAATTGTTGCAATTGACATATTTACTATTCACATTTCAAACTACATTTATCGATCTCAAACGTATAATGTATTTAAGATTTCCTTACATAAGTATTTAAACTCAAACATGAATTTTTATATATACGAGAAATGTAATCAATAATGTAATCAAGAAAACGCGACTGTTTCTGATTGCATGGGGAACAAATTAAAGAAGGTAAATCCACCTCGTACCCCACCCTAATTAGACAAAGTTTTGATCTGACCCCAGACCCAGAGTGTTACACGGATCAGAACATGTGGGTTGCAATTCCATTGGTTGTGATCAGAAAAGCTTTAAAGCGACATCTACTCTCCAGATATGCCTCCAATTCTGATCACATCGTAGTCAGAAATATCAACACATATAAATAATATGTATTAATATTGAATATTTCATTTCATGTCGTGCTTAGAAAGCATACGTTTGGCTCCTAGGAAAATTAAAGTAAAGAAATTCAAATGTGAAAGAGGAAGGGCAATGGGAAGTTTCCCTTCCTTGAATGTGAGCTGTGACATGTGTACGAGAGTGGGTGAAGGAGATACTAAAATAAATAATTATATTAATAGTTTAATGATTTAATCATGTAGGGTAACAATAATTAAAATCTCGAACATATACATTGCTTCACGGCACTCATGGGGCTCTAGAAGAAGACTTGTGTGTGTATATATATATATATATATATATATATATTTAGGGTTTTTGATATATTTGATGTAACAAACAAACTGACTGACGAATGGCATTTTCCATCCCTCTTCTTCCCTTGAGAGGGGGAAGACGGAGACTGCTGCAATAGTAATATAAACTGACTTGGTCAAATTCTGAGGCTAAAAACTTAGGGCCACGACAAATGTTTTAAATTTGGAACCATCCCAGATGCCATTAAATGTAAGTTATCGATCCAATTATCCAAATGTGAGAGATATTATTTTTGGCTTTGTCTTTAGTCATGCCCTGCAAAATAGTATTATCTTCCACCTTTTGGGATTACTCTATGTCTATCTATGGCACCCCAAAACAACTTCCCTTTAATTCCTTTTTAATAGTTTTGAGAATTATAAACATAATATTCAAAATAAAAATTTCTCTGAAAACTGAGGTATAATATCGCACTCTACACTCGAGTTTGAATCTCCCTCTCCGTAATTTAGATTATATTAGAGTAGAATACCGCTTGTGTTTAAAAAAAAAAAAACCAACAACATGAGAACGTCATTGAGGGATTGGTTAAGCTAAGCTCATAGAAGTTTAATAAAGAATTTAGGTGTATTTGACTTTTCTCATTATTTAAGGGAAACTTGATTTCGATTAGATAGATAGGGGTAGGAGCCCTTGAGAAAAGGTATGAAGACAAAATTGATGACATCATCCTGTTATAATTTGGATTAGAAAAATTAATCGAGCCGATTTTTTTTTTAAAAATTGAACCATACTTCTCCTTCTATCCTTGGTTGGGCTGAAAAGTCCGTGTGAACTAAATCAAACTGGGTTCCAATAAATATGAGGGGGGCAGAACAAATTTAATATACTTGTTTATCATTAATTACCAAAGGAGTAGGTTTTGGCATGCTTGCAAAATAATATAGACAACAATTTATTAGCAATGTGACTGAATATTAAGCATTAAATGAGCTCTATGGCTTCGCAGCCCCAAAATATGTATCACTATTACGGCAAGGCTACTCAATATCTCCATTATTATGAAGCCATTCCAAATTTTGATTTGCCTAAATTAACTTTTTGTAACAAGAACTCTCGCCCCGAAATTGCAATATAAATTTGTAAATTTATAGTAAGAAGTAGGTGAGCATACGAGTTTTGGTAGAAAGTATATTGGATCCTTAATAATGCTTATCGATTTTATAAAAAATAGACTCTTGCGACAGACTAGTCAAATAAATTTCAAATAAAAGATTATACCCGCGAATTGTGGTTTCACAATAAACCCCATTTCAAATCAAATCAAAGAAACTTCATCTAGATCTATGGAAAAAAAGAATCTAAAAGGTTGAAACATTCTTAATTCTTGATTTTGATAAACATACCACCATGAACATTCATAAGATGGACTTTTCTTTTTGAGTGAGGGGAGTATGGGACAGTGAAATATGAGAATGCAGTCCGCTGAGGCTTACGTGAAGCAAAGGTTCAAATTTGGAAAAAAGGAGAGGGGGGTCGCTCTCAGCTTGCAAAGTGATTAGTTTGGGCAAACAAAAGGGATAATAATTCATAAATCCATTATTGGGGGTCTAAATTAAAGAACACACATTTGGTTGCACGTCCTTTGAATAAATAAATAAATCCAAAAGCCCATTTGTCAATGTGGCGGCCAATTTTTAAAGGACCCACCCTCCTCCTCTAATGCCTCCCCTCCCTCCCTCCCTCCCCTCCCTTTGTTTCTTCTTCTTCTTCTTCTAAACCCATCAACCAAACCACTCTCCCCATCTCTCTCTCTCTCTCTCTTCCTCTCTGCGCTAAGCAGCCCACTTTGTGTTTTCTACAAATCACCATCAAATTCAGCAGTTCCAATTCCAGCAATGGACTCTACATTCTTCAACAGCAGCAACAGCAACAGCAACAGCAGAAGCAAGCAGTTTATGAGCGATCAAGAAGAGAACGACAATACTACCAGCTCCACACCAGAAAATAGCTCAGGCTCTCCTCCTCCACCTTCTACCAATTTCAGTGACTTCTCCAAGATCACTTCCACCTCCTCCCCCAAGAAAAGGTCTCAACTTTATCCTCAATTCACCAAATTAATTCGACCCAGTGTTCAATAATGGGAATTAATTATTTATTCAATTAATATTTACGTTAATTCAATTGTTACAGTGCTCGGCGAGCCATACAGAAACGAGTGGTGTCGATACCCATCAAAGGCGACAACAGCAACACTCCGCCTCCATCCGATTCTTGGGCTTGGAGAAAGTACGGCCAAAAACCCATCAAGGGCTCGCCTTACCCCAGGTAATTTGATCATCAAATCCATAACCCAATTCGAATTTCAACCCAAGCTCCAATTTTGCAGAGCTGGTGTTTTTGATCAGTGACTAATTTTGTGCTCTGTTTTTTGTTTTCCTTTTTTGTTTCTGGGATTTGGTTAATTTACCAAATTGGGCAGAGGATATTACAGGTGCAGTAGCTCAAAGGGCTGCCCGGCAAGGAAGCAAGTAGAGAGAAGCCGCGTGGACCCCTCCATGCTCGTCATCACCTACTCCTCCGAACACAACCACCCCTGGCCCGCTTCTCGCAACCACCACAACCATCACCAGAGCAACAGCTCGAGCTCCGCCGCAGCCGCCGCCACCACAACCAAACCCGGCTCCAACAAGACCGAAGCCCCGGAGGCCCAGCAGCCCGAGCACCAAGACCACGACCCGACATTCGCGGATCTCAACGACGAGTCGCTCCTCACACACGACGAGTTCGGCTGGTTCGCCGACATGGAAACGACGTCGTCGACGGTGCTCGAGAGCCCAATTTTCGCCGAGAGCGGCTGCGCTGGTGGGGCCGACTCCGCTGACATGGCAGCGATGGTTTTCCCGATGGGGGAAGAGGACGAGTCTCTCTTCGCTGATCTGGGTGAGCTGCCGGAGTGCTCTCTCGTTTTTCGGCACCGGGGAGTGGGACCACAAGTTCAGATCTGTTGACACGTGTCATCCTCTAGAAGGCCTCCAATTTTTTCTCTGTCCTTTTTCACACACTCTCTCTCCCTCCGTATATACAAGAGTTTTGTCATTTCTGTCATTCAAACGCGTATCGTGCGCCATAAGATACCCGAAACCCCTTTTTTTTTTCTTTTTTCTTTTTTTCTTGTCAACATTTTTCTGATTTTAGTTTTTTATTTTGTAGCAATAAAATTATTTTTGCCTTGATTTTAGCGTAGTGATTAATGAATAAACAAACTGTTAATCTGAATCTGTCGTGATGTGTGTGTAATTAGCATATTTGGCCGTCTGTTTTCAATTTGTGTGCAGAATAGATAGATAGAATATTCTCAAGTGGGTCTCACCAATCCAATTATAGAATAATTTTGTACAAAATTATGCATGTAACGTAATTCAAAATTATGAAAATGCTTTTTTTTTTTTGGTCTTCTCATGCTCAAATTAATTAGTGTGTAAATAGGATTAGGGAGAGATCTAATTTGACCAAATGCATTAACTCAGACTGTTAGCTAGCCCTTGGCCCCTTGGCTAGTTTATTTGTATAATTTGAGAACTTTTGATTGCCGGAAGCAATCAACCATACATTTTTAAATCGTTCCTTGTAATTTTGAGTGATATACTATTGAAATGATTCCTAAACTTACTGATTTTGGGTTTTCATATCGGTCGTATTATACAATCATCTGTATATCTTTTTCATTAAACTTAACGAAGAAATAAACATATTATTGAATACAAGTCTAATTATTAAGTGTTCATTATTTTCACGTACACTTAATAATGTTTTATAAGATAATTTAGGTTTTAAGTTCTCCCTTAATTCACGTACACTTAATAATGTTTTAGGTTAATGACCTAAATAGTTCCCCAACTATCGCGCGATTATCATTTTGGTTCATCAACTAAAATTTTCAATTCAAACGTCCTTAAACATTTTATAATGTACCAAAATCGTCCTTCCGTCAAAGTCTGTGTATTATTCCGTTAAATCAAGGGACAAAACCGTATTTTTAGGTGAGTATATTTAACGGAATAATACACAGACTTTGACGGAATGACGATTTTAGTATATTATAAAAAGTTTAAGGACGTTTGAATTGAAAATTTTAGTTGGTGAACCAAAATGATAATTTCGCGATAGTTGATGGACCATTTAGGTCATTAACCCTAATGTTTTATAAGATAATTTAGATTTTAAGTTCTCCCTTAATTAGCTAAAACCAGACCAGACCACACTATCGGAATTGGGAATTGCTAAGGAACCGAGTAACATTCTCATTGTTCGATTAGACGTGGAATTGAAATGTCTTTATAGACAAGCAGATCAAATCATTCAAAAGTCAAACCACCGAAAAAGTGTTTGACTTGTAGGTGATGATAGCTGGATTTGACTTCTTCAGCCATTATTTGGTGGTCCATTAAAAAAAACACAAATAATATCTTGTTTACACCCCAACCCCAATTCAATTCTAACCCTAAAATTGGCTGGAAGTGTTGACATAATATAAGAGTGGTTAAAGACTAAAGAAGGGACCCAAGTGAATAAATAAATAAATATTATTAAAACAACATGAGATGAGATGAGATGAGACCCCTCTCCTGTTTTGTTGGCCTTTTATTTTGCAACACCTGCACAGAGCATGGTTCGTCACATACATTGTGGACAGTCACTGCTCACGTAATCAAATAATCCTTGGATATTTGGATCGGATCTACTTTCTTCCTTATCCGTTTGGATTCGTAATTAAATTAAGGCAAATGACAGCTTAGCCATGAAGATTCACCATTTTTATAAGCATAACCTGCAAACCCTGCAACCTTTTGTCTCTCTATGTAACATGCTTACATTAATACCTTCCGCTAGTATTGCTGGATTTCGAGTTTAAAAATGACAAACACGCGTAACGATGGTAGAGCGGAAAATACTTTTATATCATATCAGATAATTAATTTAGATATTATGTTATTAAACTGACGAAATATATATATAAAACGTGAGAGAATGTTATAATGCAACTGGTGGTACATTGTGGGATCCACATGCATCAACAATTCATAGTTACTGAAGTGAGCGTGAGCGTGGCCCATGCTAGCATAATTTTATAGAACGTATTTTGTGATGAGTACTAGGCTAATTTGTGGATAGCAGCCTAGGCTACTGGATTCCAGGCGGCGCCTGTGGCTGAGGAAAGGGTTGGTTAATTCATATGTGCCAATGAATATTATGAACAGATCATTTAAACGACGTCCAAACTAGATTTTTAAATTGTGTTTTTATCAAAAATACGAAAAAGAAATTCAAAAAACGACATGCCTTACTGTTGGCATGCACACTACCTTCACCAACTGTTTTGTTTGCTAGGCATCAACCAGCACGACAGCCTGTCTTGAGGGAACTAAACTGCAGCACAGGCACACAGCCAAAGTATTAAGCAGCCAACAACCACCATGAAACATACGCGAAATACGAGAGACTATATACGGTGGGGTCGAATAAACAATTTCAATTAATTGGTGTTCTGAAGAATAATTCTTGAAGTACAGAATTCTGGTGCAAATGTGCCCCATTCAACACCTATGTGAAAGTGAGACATGTAACATCTGTTTCTAAACAAGCTTATCTTCACCAGCTAAACATCTGTCTTGGGTAATTAATGATAATGACAATGGAAGTAAAGACATCTCCGAGATCTAGAAAAAATTCTACACAACCACGGTCTACAGAGAAACAGATGCGGCAAACATAAACCCAGCTACATCTGGTGCAGATTCAAACTCTAGCTTGAGCAACAGCCACCTTTCTTCACAGCCGAAACATCTTTACTGATATCGATTTTCTCTCCCTGGGAAGGAACAGCTGAAGCAGCAGCTTCATCTCCAGCCTCCATGGCCTTCCTGCTCACGACACGAAAGATCTGGGTAAGGACTTCAGCAAATGCATTGTCCACATTGGTTGCTTCGAGTGCAGAAGTTTCCATGAAGTAGAGAGACTCCCTCTCAGCAAAGGATTTTCCATCCTCTGTTGAGACCGCAACAAGGTGACGAAGATCTGATTTGTTACCAACAAGCATGACAACAATGTTGGGATCAGTATGGTCTCTTAACTCCTTTAACCACCTTTCCACACTTTCAAATGTCGAATTCCGAGTGACATCGTACACAAGTAGTGCACCCACAGCCCCTCGATAGTAAGCACTAGTTATCGCTCGGTACCTACAGATACAAAAAGGAAATACATTCTCTATTGTGAAAGGAATAAAAAAGTAGAGACTTTCACGTCAAGTTCCCAAAATTGCAGTAATTTACCAATACCAAATAACGATTATAATAATAACAAGATATTATCCAAAGAAGATAAACTACCAGTAAACAAAATCAAAATCCCATATACCACATCATCAGAAAGAAACAATTTACCAAACCATCCTGGTAATAGCTGTTGAAATCAATTAACAAAAAACTATCTAGAATAAGCATATTGAATTACAGGTAGCTGTCCCAGCAAAAGTGTTAACATCAGCACATAAAAGAAATTCTGTCAAATCATACATTTGAATCAGAATATGATACAACCATGCACAACCCATCTGAACAGAGCCAACAATTCATCAATTTTTCTATTCATAATGGTACCTTCGGTATACAGACAACAAATGTTGTTAGCGATGGCTGGATTGAGGAGGGTGGCTTGGGGTATCTAGTCTCAGATACGGACTTAAAGTCGGATGGTGGTTTTACTATTTTTGAGAAGAACAGACATGTTTTTGTGCATACTGAATAACATAGTGAGGGGATTAATTATCTCCCATCCTCCATGGGTTAAATAGTTCCACTGTAGTGGGAAAAGGCGGGTCAGTTGGATGATTTTATGTACCCTATCCCAATCCCGCGTGCATATCTAAGACCGGATATTTGGTGTGTCATTCAAAACCTTAATGTTGCAAAAAATAGGGCAAATCTTTTGACTTTTGACTTTTTTTAGGAGAGAGGAGGTAGTCATGTTTAGAAGTATGCATAAGATTACTTGGGGTATATATTCTGAACATGCGAACACTTGAGACGTAAGTTTTCATTTAGATAGGATCCTTGTAAATATTGATTTCAACGGAATTTTCATACACTACATAAGAAGTACACAATAGCTTAGAAATTAAAGGACTCTCAACATACTTCAGAAAATTTGTTTCAATGCACTGACCTCAATTCTTACCAGGAGAACATGTAGAATTCAATAAAGAGATTTTATAATTATCTAGTAAGTTTAGGCATAACATTTCATTAGAATTTGCAGCAAGTTTGTTGTTATATTAAAACATTCATTATTTTCTTCCTCTGAATGCTGTATAAGGAAGTAGACCTGGTAGGTTGCACACACACTGCACAACTCTGGCTCAAATAAAAAAATCATATGAGATTTTAGTTCAAGGGTAATTGAACTGTCTCACAGAACAGTAAAGTAGACAAGATAATCCTCAGAAGCTGGTTTTCAGGGTGCTCAAACTATCATCCATGATTGGATATGCCTCCATTTGCACAAACACTTAATATAAGAGCATAATACTGGCTAAACAGATATGCAGAATGCCCTGCCCACTGACTAATGTTCAAAGTGAAAAGGCATGTGAACGGTAATAAAATCACTGATCAAGATAGTGAGGTTGTACTTCTAGTGGCAGTAATGGTTTTAACGGCAATAAATTAACAAAGCTTTCAAGGAAGTATGCGATTTAACGGGACCATAACACTATAACATAGCTACCTTATAATGCTTACAATACAGACCAGAAACCAGGGTTACTTTGCATGAGTAATTCCCACCAGTAATTCAGTCAAGAAAGCATAATATTATGCTTAAGTTATATGCGTCACAATTAATATCACATTTAAAACAATAATAATAATAATAAATAAATAAAATTGAACTGTAAGAACACTGTGAAACCAAGCATAAATTATATACTTCTGTTGAAAACCATGCACTTCGAGAAAATCAGTTCAGTTTCTCAAACTCATTATGTACATGAATCAACAGTTAGATTATAGATCTCTGTAATAATTCAAAGGTAGTTCTGATGAAACAATCACGTTCTACTAAGATTCTTGTGAAAACACATAGCTGTATTGTATTCCAATTCATCTTTCTTCTACCAACAGACAGTAACTTTTCTCCTCATAAGTAAATGTACGAATATCAAGGGGGTGACAACCATATTGAATATGAAGCCCATAGGACAACTTGAAAGCCGATACAATGAATGAACTCCACTGAAATCTACCGACAAACTAGCTCAAAACAATGACTTTGAAACTGATGTTAAGGTTGTTTTGACTAGCATCATATAGTGAGAGGCATGCAAGCAGCTATAGGCCACTTCAACAAAAGCCAAACAGCACATCAACCAAGCTTCACAAATAATAGTATTTAACAAACAGCATTTCACTCTAAATCAGCAACACCCTTCTTAAAACTACGTACCTTCAGGAGTAACAAAAATAAGGTCATCTATATTGTCGAACATTGGTAATGGCAATAAATTCTTTTGAGCATATGATAGACATAAGGTTTTTTAAGCATTGTATCAGATTTTTAATGTTGCAGCAACCGGGCTTTCCGATATAGTACCCATTCACATCAACCAGGAAGTAAACATTATAGAGACCTAAAGACACTTCTTGCACATTTCAGTTCATGTCTAACTCATGTATACTTAATGTGACTGCAAAAGAGAATACGCATAACAATCACAATATAATGCAAAATTTTGCTTAGACTGAATCAAGTTTGATCCGTGCAAAACTTGGATTGTTATAAAGCATATCTTATGTGAGAAATCTCTCATATAAAAACCCAGAAAAATATTTGCGTACATCTGATTTAATTCCAAGCTCTTCAGATCTACTGAAGAAACCCCAATTAATGCACCAAATCTAGAGACACCAACCAAATTGCAAAAGCTTAAATCTTTCATTACTTAAAACCAACAAACCTTGACCCTCCATTCAACCAAGCCAAACACATGCAGTTACAAAGAGTTTCTATGTCTCATGATCATCAGCTAAAAGTTTCAAACCAGATAAAAACTCAAGAAATTGAGCAAGACCCAGATCATAAAGCAGCAGAAACATGAAGAAAAAAGCAAGAAATCTGACCAACCTTTCTTGACCAGCAGTGTCCCAAATCTGGGCCTTAATGACTTTTCCATCGACATCCAAGCTCCGGGTGGCGAACTCAACGCCGATGGTGGACTTGGACTCGAGGCTGAACTCGTTCCTGGTGAACCTGGAGAGCAAGTTGGACTTGCCCACGCCCGAGTCTCCGATCAGCACCACTTTGAAGAGATAATCGTAGTCATCTTCAGCTCTGTACCCAGCCATTGCAACACAGACAAAGCTACGTTCTTTCGGCTTCCAAGAAGAAGCTGAAGAGAAAATGGTGATCTTGTTCTTTAGATCTCTTCCCCTATTTTGTCTCCCTCTGAAAATTTGTTTGCTTGTAAGTTTTCGGTGTTTCTTTTTTCAACCTTTCGGCTTTTCGGAGGCGTGTCAGACCTGTGAAAGACTGCTGTCTGTAAAGAGAGAAGAGGGGGTGGCGTGGAGGTGTCTCGGGGAACTTCAAATGACATTTGTGCCCTTGCTGGAGCCATTTGTATTAAAAGGAGGTAAAAAAGCATGAGGGTGTTTTTGACATTTTAAGATATGATTCATTTTCCAATCTCGGGTTTTCTCATTTCTGGTCTTGGGCTAAACTATTTAGTGGGCTGTATGTGACAAAAAAAACTGATTTAAGAATAAAATTGTGAATGATAACGCTCGGTGGTCCTTTTTGGTCAAAACGTTCGGTGGTCCTTAAATCTTAATGAATGATAATAAATAGTGAAGCAAGAAAGGAGTGAATTTAGCGGATTCTGAGTGAGATATTAAGAATTTCCTTTATATTTAGATTTATTTATAGTTAGGTTAGTTGATTAAAACAGTATATATGCTATTTGTAACTAAGTTCGAATCGAATCATCCTCCTCATAATTATTGCTCGTATAAGAAAATTTGTTATATGTTTTTTTTGGTTTGAAGCTTGCATTTTATTTTGTCTATCCAGCTGCTCTATGAGAAAACCTTAAAGAAAAACCCATAGCGCCCTTTTTGGAGGTCGGCAGTCACCCTCCCTATTCTCTTCTTTTTCCCTACGGATTCTTTGTTTTTAGTTTTTGGGTTTGTTTTATTTTGTGATGATGTAGAAGCTGCCGGTGTGTAACGTTGTCATTGCCATGATGTAGTTGTCGTTTTTTGGCCCACACATGCAAGGATTTGGCTCCAGTTGTCAATCTTCGATATAGATTTGGAGCTACGAAGCTGGGATAATGTGATGTCGGGTTGCGTTGAGTTCGAGTTTAGCCGATATGACACTATGACTCTCTTCAGGTTGCTTGAGAGGATGTGAAACGGTGGTCTTGTTTCTCAGTTTGTTTTAGTTTAATATTCTCATGAACTCTTTAGGAGTTTGATGTGGTTTGTTTTTGAGTGATGCTAAAAAATCCTAAAATTAACTGAGTACACCATATGATCTAAGTATAGCCTAACATTTAAATCAAAATGTAAAATTAACTAAGTACACCCTATTTAACTCCCAAAAATACCCTTGGTACACCCTAATACACTATATCACATCTAATTTGCCACGTCATATTTTAATTTCTTCTAAAGCTTTTGTTCTTCACATTAAAATGTGTCAATTTGAACAAATTTGGGTTTTTATTTGTTCTGCAAATTCCTTTTTTTTTTTCCTCATCTTAATGGGTTTTTGATTTAGTCTTCAAATAACGAATTTGATCAAACTAGTTCGACAACACGCCATATGGGTCTAATAGCTACTGCAAACTTGATTCAAATGAAAACTTGAAAACTAATTCCCAAATGCCTTCTTATATTTGAACTTTAGATCCAACTAATATCTTCAATGATTGTTATGAATAGTTAGATGGTCTTCCACTTTTAGATTTGGTCTCTTAATAATTTCTTTAACCTTCATGTCTAATGGAGGAGTTGTTGGGCAGCAATGGAGGGCTGTTGGTTGGCAAAGGAAGGGGCAAGCGAACAAACATTCAATGACACATCTTTCCACTACCGCCAATGCTCGTTGTGTTGTTTGCCGTCGGCATTAAGCAAAAACAAAATCTTCTCTATGTTTGATTAGGGTTGGATATGGTGAGTAAAGTGTACTTATTAAAATTATATTTGTTTCACAATTCAATATATCTTTTTTGGTCATTTTATATTAGGGTAAATTAGTAATTCAATAAATAATTTGATAGTACGGTGCACTAATTTAATTTTAGGGTTCATTTAGCAACACTCTTGTTTTTTTGTTTAGGATATTTGATTTTCTTTTGACTTTTGACTTTCGATGCAGATTTGTCATTTATGTCGTTGACAAATTTTTATTGCAGGTTTGAGTACTATGCTTATGGTTGCTAAATATGGAATTTTAATCATTTTTTGGTTTGTGCATATTCTCTTCATATCAATTCAACTTGTTGTTGCATTTGGTCGCTAAAGAAGTTGTATGTACTTTAATTGCTTTGTACTTGTTTTTGTTTATCTTATCAATAAAATACCATCGCTCTTTTATCAAATTTTTTTTTTTTGAGAACGGAGTATAAACAATCCATCAACCACAACTTGTTCAAGAACATGAACTTCTCAGTTCTTGCCTAACACCACTGAATGAAACTCTTCACATTTGTAACATGCACTTATCTATTCAATAAATATCCCAATCCGCACACAAAGAACACCATAGCTTAGCCTTTCATTGGCAACAACATATACCTTCTTCTTATAGCAAAGTAGCATCTACCCATGTATAATTAATTAGATTTTCGGTCCCTTAATTTGTCGTCTATTGGTTGATTTTTTTAATTTTATATGGCTGCATCTTCTTATAATAAGACCTTTTGATAAAACATATATCATGTTCACTGCAATTGGTTTATGGTTTTGACTCATGATAAATATCATAGCCCATGTTAGCTCTTAATTAACATTCGATAAGCATCATTTCTGGCAATCATGAAGCATGATAAAAAGTTTGAAACAAGTTGGGGGAAAGGCATGTTTGAGTTAATTAAACGACCAATCCACCCATCATGCGTCTCTTAAAAAAAGCTAACTGAAGGCACCACCATTGGGGTTATATCCATATAATAACTCACTTACAAATACCAACAGAAGACAAACTGAGTTGACAAACTTGATTCATTCTTTTCCTCCTTTGGCCCTTATAACTCTAATGTTTTGCTTCCCATCAGTGTCTTATTCATAGAGTGGATAATATACAGTAATCTTGATGCAGGAAGATGGTGGATAAGTAGGTAAACGCAGTCCACAGATTTTGCACCAGGGATCTGATCAATTTCATTTCTGACACATAAGGCCCCCATCAGTTTCCCAGAAAAATTCAGAAAAGTACTTTTCAGATTCTTAAGCAAGTACTGTTTCCTGCTTTCTTTCAAAAGCTTAACAGAGATAATCAGGAATGGGATTATATATGTTACATAAACACAACTGCTTTTGCCTTAATCCGCCCCCACATTTTAATTAAAGATCTTTCTCACCAACCTAAAGATTCACCACCAACCATGAATTATACAAAACATTGAGAAATTAGTTGGAGTGTCCCATGAAGTAGACCCACAAATTATTTTGTGTCACCAAGTCCATGTATTATGCCCTAATTCAAATTTTTTTGATTGATGTGGTACTAATCATTTTAAATATAAGCAGCTGTGATGTCAACTCTCCACAAATTATTTTGTGTCACCAAGTCCATGCATTATGCCCTAGTTCAAATTTTTTTGATTGATGTGGTACTAATCATTTTAAATATAAGCAGCTGTGATGTCAACTCTCTCTCTTTCTCTCTCTCTCTCTCTCTCTCTCCCCATAACTCTAAAGTTTATTAAACTTTTCAAAGTTCCAATGACTCTTTAGCTGAAAAATGAGTGCTACCTCAGATTGGAGAAACACATAAAGAATCAAGTATTATGGTAGCCACGACCTCCCTATATGATTGCATACAGCCATACACGTCCTTGTCACAGTTCCTTTTATACACACACATTAAATTTGTCCATTTTCAATCCCACATATGATATATGCCACACCCAACCTTTTTTTTGTTTATCCATTATCTTATTCTCTTTTCAGTTCCATTCTTGATTCTAATTTGTCCAAATGTCTGGTTCTGAGTCTGAGGCCTCTTCTTCCTCTTCTCCTTCACCTGGATTGCCTAACAAGTGTCCTCCTCCAACTGCGCCAATGGTGCAATTGGTCCCAAAATCCACTTCTGATCGACTGCTTCAGAAATTCTTTGATGCCGCAGAGTTTGACTTTGATTATGAGCAGAGTGGATTGTGGTCTCCTCCCGTAAAGCGCACCGTGTTCTTGAGCTCACAAGGTAGAATTTTCACTGAGCAAGAAATGCTAGTTAAACTTTCAACTCTAATGGATGCTCCTACTTCAACACACAAAGCTTGCTGCAGAGTAAGTTGCTAGCTACCTGTTTAATATGTGTTTGTGTACTCGTTTCTTTCTTCCTTTAAGGATATTTTTATGTATGTTTCCGTGTGATCTTTTGTAGGCTTTCTGGTGCTTTTGAAGGAAGCCTTGAAGCCATTCTTACAGTATATTCGTGAGGATTGCAGGTCAAGAAACAAATACTGAGCAAACAAGGATGAAGAAACAGAGAACCCCATTTGTAGTTCTCCTCTCCTTTAAGAAAATGAAAAGAATTTTTAAATATAAGAAATATGTTGTCATCGACCCCTTTAGTTCTTTGAGTTTTTGCCTTGTCCTTGGTCTTTCTTTAATTGCATTTGCAAAACTGAGAAGTTCTGTAATCTGCATATGCTCAGTTGTTCAATTAGCTAGTGATTCATTAGTGGAAGCCATTTAGAATTATCTATTAGCAGAAGGCAAAAACTGGGTATTGACTAGCCACAGAGATTTTTACTGCAGGAGGTGTATTATATAAATGAAGAAGAAAAAATAGAGCTGGGTTCTGGCAGTGGAATTTATAGCCTATGGTAAACTTTTGCAATTGTGTCAGTTTCATGATGTTTTTATGATGGATCCATGACCAGGCCTGAATTCTGATAATGACTTGTAAACATCAGGACAGGTTCAAACCCCCAAAAAAGAAAAGGGGACAAATTTGTCATTGCTAGTTTTTCTACTAGAAGGAAGATCCCTTAATCTTTCTGTGGAGGAAGATGCATTAATTAACATGCTGTAATTAGTGAGGTCATGCACCATATTTGACAGACTTGTGAGAAACATATCCCAAAATCACAGCTCATTCAGACAGAGACTTCTTGTGGGTCCTCTAATTGCAGTATTTGCATTCAAGAACGAAGGGAACAATGTCATGCCAGAGAAGAAAAACTTGCATGTTACGCAGATATCACTGTTCTGCTATCTTCATCCAATCACGTTCCACCATGTAGAATCCTTATCACACGTATGATTGGTTGGGGATAGCAAAACAGTGTTATACCCTTGATATGCAAGTTCTTCTCGAGCTTCACAGACTTCCAAGATTACCTGCTGCAGCTCTGTTTCAGCAAGCTTTGAAGAATTCCACTTGTAAAAACAGATTCTTTGTTTTAGTGTGACAAGGTCAGGAAACTTCAAAGGCAGAGCCTTCATCAAACACAGAGAAAGATAGCTACTTTCAAACTATGCGGCTATTCCCATTCACACCTTTGCATATTGAGTTTTACATCTACAATGTGGGGGTCCTGACATTTTAGGGTCTGACATGAAAAAAAAAAGACTACTTTTTGCATATACTTACAATCTCATTCAATATATAAATTTTCAAATAATTAGAAAACATTATAGAAGCTACTCATATGTAGAAAATAAAATAATATCGTACAGACGAATTGAAAAAAGTTCAATGTGGGAAGGCTATAGCCTTTTGAAAGTGGGGAACCTATTATCTCAGGTAAACCTTTTAAGCAAAGTAAAATTTTTCCAACAGAACCCTATGATCTTGATCGCTCATATGTTCCTATAGAAGCCTCTGCTTTTCATATGCAAGGAGTATGTACATGTACACCTGCAATGAGAGAGAGAGAGAGAGAGAGAGAGAGAGAGAGAGAGAGAGTTAATATATGTTGACAGATTTTCTTCTCATTACTAGTCATTGCTGATAGAATTAATATCTATAGATGAAAATGGAAGTATATTAATTTCCATTATACTTACAGAGTTAAGGTTGAAATTAGAGCTCTAAGTATGCATAACATTACACTGGTACAAGATCTTGCTCCAGGATTTCCTTCCCTATAATTCCATCTTTCAAAGTTTTAAACATTGTAGTCCTCGGGGGGTGGATTTTGAGGGTCCACTGAAAATGGCTCACTTTGAACCTGCAAAGGAGTTTATAAGCATCTCAGAATCTGCAAAAGCTTTTAACTTCCAGAAAAAAACAAATTACAGCCACAGTACACAGCGCACAATTAATGGACATAAGTCAGGCTGTGACCTCAAATGTCTTGCCAGATGCATAGAGGCTTTCCAACGCAGCGACACAAATCTGACTGGGCAACCTCCTCTCTTGATATCTTACGCTGTATATTGCTGGGATCAAAAGAAGAATAAGTATTATGTGACAACTGGGTTGCTGACAAAATGTGAGGAGCTGAAATTTTGAATCTTGGGATGTTGTTGTTGCATTGTATGAGCTGAAATAATATGACAAAATTGTATATTTAAATGGTATTGCCGCGGAGATATACCCCTCTAATAATTCAAATATTTTAAACATCTAGCCGCTCGGCTATACTCTTGTATTATATCCGACTATTTTAACAGTATAGCCGCGCGGCTATACTATTTTAGAGTATAGCCGAACGGCTATACTTCGCGAATATTTTTAGCGTATAGCCGCGGCTATACTATTTTTAGAGTATAGCCGAACGGCTATACCTCGCGAATTTTTTAGAGTATAGCCGCGGCTATTATTTTTGAGTATAGCCGAACGGCTATACCCCGCGAATTTTTTAGAGTATAGCCGCGGCTATACTTTTTTTGAGTATAGCCGAACGGCTATACCGCGCGAATTTTTTAGAGTATAGCCGCACGGCTATACGCTTTCTCCAGACGTATGCTAATGAGAGTATAGCCGCTATACTCTAAACAAACACGAACTTGCAGTCACAGAGGAATGTGGTCCGCAGTGAAATAAGGGAAACGCACACGAAGCTTGCACTCGCAGTCTCGCAGTCTCGCAGTCTCGCAGTCAGCCATCTTGAGCCTCTCTCTCAACTCAAGGTTCGATTTTTTCTCTTCGGTTTCGGCTGCTGCGTTGATTCGATTGGATTGGGCTCTCTCAATGTCTGCCGAAGCAGAGCCTCCGTCCTCCGGGTTCGGCACCGACGTTCCTGGTGACGTGGACGACTACATTTCGGTGAGTGTGGTTTCTCTTGTTTGGTTGCTGAGAAAATGTGGGGGAACCAGGAAGAAATTGAGTAATTTGTTTAACGAAAGGAATTATGTTTATTTAACAATACAAAACATAGATATTAAGTATATATTGTTTAATACCAGCTGGCTATGATATTGGGTTTGTGAATTTCTAAAATGTTATATTATTTTATCTTTTGTTGGTATTCTGTAGCAATCCTCTTTAGAATTTAGAGAGAATACAAGCTAATTTCACAGGGAAGAGAAGCCATAGAAAAGCAGAACGCAGTGATGACTTGATTCATGCCTATTTCAATCAATGGATCGAGGTGAGTGTTTTGCTGTTACTGATTCTATTTAATTCTTCTAATCCCCTTTTTGTCCTTGACAATCATGTCTTCTTTGTCCTGTCTCTTACAATGAAGGGAGGAAGTCCACTATAGGCAAAGTCTTTTGGCTTCCTGTGGATGTGCAATCACCTCTTCCAATATGTGGATTCCACTTCCACAACACTTTCATCATGATATTCTTCATTATTTCCAAATGTGTGGGCTGCACTCAAAGACTTTACAACAACAACAACAACAAAAAGGAAAAAGAAACACACTGCAGTTGGAAGGAAAACTTCTCTGTTTTCGGTGATCATGGAGGCTGATAGAGGAGAGAAGTCTTTGACCCAAAAAATGGAGGAGAGAAGTCATTTCCTCTTGTCAATCACGTTCTTGCTGGTGGTGCAGTACAGTTCTCTATATATGGCTGAATTAACTATCAGCACAGATGCAACACAAACCAACATCACAACGGACCAGTCTGCTCTTCTTACTCTGAGATCCCATATCACCAGTGACCCTCACAACATCTTGGTCAACTGGTCAACCACCACCTCCGTCTGTAACTGGTTTGGCGTTACTTGTGGTGCTCGCCATCTCAGAGTAGCATCATTGAATCTCTCATACATGGGTTTTATTGGCACAATTCCACCACACTTGGGCAACCTCTCATTCCTGGTTGCACTAAGCTTCAACAATAATAGCTTCCATGGTACTTTGCCCCATGAATTGTCTTATTTGCGTCGACTGAAGTTTATTAACTTCGGATACAACAACTTTATGGGATCCATTCCATCGTGGTTTGGGTCCTTCCCCAAACTTCAAAGCTTCTATTTGTATGGCAATCAATTTTCAGGTTTCATACCGTCGACTATCTTCAACTTATCTACACTACAAATAATTTATCTAAACAATAACCAGTTATCAGGTACGTATGTGTCAACAAGCTATCTAGACTCCACTATTGATCGATCTGTACTTTTTAATATCTTGTCATTGATCTATAAGATAGGCTAAACTATCCCTGTTATTCATTTTTCTTTAAAGAATTGTTATGTAATTTGTGTTTTGTTTTTTTATTTTAGTTGCAGCTACTACTAAAAAGTACATGACTTTGCGTCTACATTATTTTAGTTGCAGGGGATTAGATTATATTTAATGTTTCTTGGGTCTTTGGCATACAAGACAGGTGGGATACCAAGAGAAATAGGAAATTTAACAATGCTGAAGGAGATAAACTTGGGCCACAACAATTTCAACGGTATATTGTTTCATCCATTGCCTTGTATTGTATGCACAGACGGCCTAATTATATATGTGTCTGCTCTCGCGCGTTTGTATGTGATACAGTTATATATATGAATATGATTCGGCTTTTGTTGCAGTGCATTACATATACATAACTCATGAGTTTAACATATATATTTGAATATCTTAATGATTTTTCAGAAATTCCAAATGAGATTGGCTCTTTAGATCAACTGGGGATGTTGACTGTGCAGATGAATGCCCTAAAAGGGCATGTTCCTGTGACTGTTTTCAACTTGTCTTCTTTGATTATTTTGAATCTATATGGGAACAACTTGAGTGGTGGTCTTCCAGACAATATATGCCAACATCTTCCTAGTGTTCAGGTGGTCAACTTGGGTCGCAACCAGTTTGATGGTCTACTTCCATCCAAATTATGGCAATGCAAAGAGCTTCTTATATTATCATTGGAGAATAACAATTTCAGTGGAAGCATACCCAGAGATATTGGGAACTTAACGCAGTTGCAAGTGATTGCACTTGGTATCAACAATTTGACAGGTAATATGATATTTCATTATGTTTATGTTGATCCAATAACTATGCTTTATTTCTGTTTTTTTGTTGTTGTTGCATCATTTATCATAATTAAACTATGTCGTAGCTTTGAAACTAGACAACATTATTTCATAGTTAGTAAATGAGGGAGATCGTTAATCATGAATATTTGATGTTTAACTGTTCAAACCAAAGTCAGAAAAAAAGAAGCATAAAGATATGCAGCCAATCGATGACTAAAAGTCATGAACATGTAGATAGGGTTAAATATGTCGTAGACTAATGCTGGGACATTTGCAGGCACTATACCAGATGAGATCGCTGATCTTCAAAATATAGAGTTTTTGGCAATCGATCATAATAATCTGAATGGCCTCATCCCATCCTCAATCTTCAATATGTCCACGATAACACAACTATCGCTTAGTTTTAATCAGCTATCAGGTACCCTCCCAGCAAACATAGGCCTTGGGGTTCCAAACCTACAACTCCTTCTTATAGCAATGAATGACCTCAGCGGAGTAATCCCCAACCTCTCCAATGCTTCTATGCTCACGAGGATAGACTTGGGCGAAAACTCATTTACAGGGTTTATTCCAAGCACGCTCTGTGCCTTGACAAACCTTCAGGGGCTTAGATTAAACACGAATAATTTGATGATTCAGACTTCCACTCTCTCTTGTTTGGCTAATCTTGGAAGTTTGAAAACACTAGACTTGGGAAAAAATCCGTTAAATATCAGACTTGATGATTCCTTTCGGAATTGCTCTTCTACATCGTCCCTTCAATATATTTATTTATCTAATTGCAACATGAGGGGCAACATTCCCATTTGTATTTCCAACTTGAGCAGCTTGCTAACCTTAGACCTGGAAAAGAATCAATTGAGTGGATCAATTCCAACTTCACTGGGAAGACTAGGGAATCTCCAAGGTTTGTGGTTGGATGATAACAAGTTGCAAGGATACATCCCATATCAACTTTGTCAACTTGATAAACTAGTTGAATTATATTTGGGTAGTAATCAGCTCTCTGGTTCTATACCTTCATGCTTGGGCAGTCTAGCCACATCTCTAAGAACTCTCTCACTAGAGTCCAATTCGTTGAGTTTCACAATACCATCTACTTTTTGGAGACTTGCCTATATCTTGCATCTAAACTTATCATCCAATTCTCTAATTGGACCCCTCTCACAAGATATTGGAAACTTGAAAGTTGTGATAGACGTAGATTTATCAAATAACCAGTTATTTGGTATTCTACCAAGCACCATTGGGGCTCTTCGTGATTTGGTTACACTCTCCTTGGCAAATAATGATTTGGAAGGCCCTATTCCAAGTTCATTTCAAGACTTGCTCAGCCTGCAATTCTTGAATTTATCCAAAAACAATCTGTCTGGAATGATCCCCAAGTCTTTAGAAGCCCTCTTAGTTCTCAAGTATCTGGATTTGTCTTTCAACAGGCTCCAAGGAGAAATTCCAACTGGTGGACCATTCCAAAACTTCTCCGCTCAATCATTTGTCTCAAATAGTGCACTATGTGGTGTAGCCCGACTCCATGTTCCACAATGCAGAATTAGTAAACGTGAACCAAATTGGAGGAAACCTAAATATATTATCCCAGGGATCATATTAGTAATTTTCCTAGTGGCCTCCATATCTCTATTTGTACTATGCAGGAAAAGGAATGTGGAAGTTCCAACAGAGGCTACCTCGTTGCCCCAACTTCTTTGGAGAAGATTTTCACACCTAGAACTTCTAAGGGCAACGAATGGACTTAACGAAAACAACTTACTTGGAAGTGGGGGTTTTGGCTCAGTATATAAGGGGACACTTTCAGAAGGAATAGATGTTGCAGTAAAAGTTTTCAGTTTACAGCTAGAAGGGGCTTTCAGGAGTTTTGATACAGAATGTGAAATGCTAAGCAATATTCGTCATCGAAACCTTATCAAAATCATCAGCTGCTGCAGTGAACTTGATTTCAAAGCGTTGGTATTGAATTACATGCCAAATGGGAGCCTTGAGAAGTGGTTGTACTCTCAAAACTATTCTTTGAATATCTTACAGAGGATCAACATAATGATAGACGTTGCGTCAGCATTGGAATACCTTCACCATGGTTATTCAATACCTGTAGTGCACTGTGATATGAAGCCAAGTAATATACTACTAGATGATGATATGGTTGCACATGTTGCTGATTTTGGAATTGCAAAACTCTTGGGTGGAGGAGATTCTATGACCCAAACCATGACCTTAGCCACAGTTGGGTATATGGCTCCAGGTGATGTAATTGCTAATTTAATATCTTTTAATTCTATACATGTCCGTAATTATGCATAATTTTCATTTCATCATACACATGAATATACAAGTATAATTCATAATGCAGAGTATGGATTGGAAGGAATGGTTTCAACAAGTGGGGATGTGTACAGTTTTGGAATTGTAGTGATGGAAACATTCACAAGAAGGAAGCCAACAAATGAGATGTTTGATGGGGAAATGAATATAAAGCAATGGATTGCAAACTCACTAGTATTACCAGATGCAAAGATAGATGAAGTATTGGATGCCAATTTGCTTGGGATTGGGACAGAACAGGAAGATGATGATCATGTGAGGAAAAGGGATTGCATATCAGCCATTATGAGATTAGCTCTTGCTTGCTGTGCAGAATCACCTGAAGAGCGGATAAGTATGGAAGAAGCTGTAGTCACACTCAAGAAAATCAAGATAAAGTTTATGAAGGACGCTGCTGCTGCTCAAATAAACTGCCCTCTTGTTCAAGCCATGATTCTGCCACTGTCATTAACTTAACATTCAAGGCCAAACACATGTACAATAATTTATGTATGTATATTTAAAATCATTAGAAAACATTATATAAGCTACTCATATGTAGAAACGAAAATAATATTATACAGCTGAATTGAAAAAAAAATTCAAACCTCTATACATAATCAGGAGGTTTGGACCTCATCGTGATCAAGGCTATAGCCTTTGAAAGTGAGAACCTATCATCTCAGGTGAAACATTTTAAGTCATGTGGATTTGTCCTACAGAAGTTTATATTCTCGGTCGCTTATGTATGTTCCTGTAGAAGCCTCTGCTTTTCATCTGCTATGAGTATATACACACCTGCAATGAGAGAGAGAGAGAGAGAGAGTGAGAGAAATAATATATGTTCACAGATTTTCTTCTCATTAGTCATTGACTCATTGATGAGAGAATTATCTCAGATGAAAATGGAAGTATATCAAGCTCCATTATACTTACAGAGTTAGGTTGAAATTAGAGCTCTATGTATACAAAACATTACACTGGTACAGGATCTTGTTCGAGGATTTCCTTTCCTGTAATTCCATCTTTCAAAGTTTTAAAGTATACATTGTAGTCCTTCTCGGGGGATGGATTTTGAGGGTCCACTGTAAATGGCTCACTAAATGGCACAACACTTTTAACCTGCAAATGAGTTTATAAGCATCTCAGAATCTGTAAAAGCTTTTAACTTCCAAAAATAGCAAATTACAGCCACAGCACACTGCACACAATTAAGGGATATAAGTCGGGCTGTGACCTCAAATGTCTTGCCAGATGCATAGGGGCTTTCCAACGCAGCAACACATATCTGAGCAGTCTGCTCTCTTGATATCTTACCCTGCATATATATATATATTATAAATCATAACATTCAGATATTATTACTATTATAAAGGAAAGAAAGAGCAATACATACCATCACAATAAAGAGAGAATAGTGATCTTCTATTTGATTATATACCGTTACATTGTCTCCTTGGTCAAAAATGAGATCTGCTCCAGCAGGCTCCTCAGCAAAGATAGATGAAGTTTGAAAAATCGCTATGAGGTAGGCTAAAAGAACAAAAGAAAAGAACCAGACCCAACCTGGCACCCAGACCCGCCTAGCGCCGCCTAGACCCGCCTAGCACCACCTAGACCCTCCCAGCGACGCCTAGACCAGCCCTGTAGTGCATAAGTTTGAAAAATCGCTAGGCAGTAGGCTTAAAGAACAAAAGAAAAGAACCAGACCTGCCTAGCTCCGCCTATAGACTTACCTAGCGCTGCCTAGACTCACCTAGACCCGCCTAGCCCTGTAATGCAGAGTACGGATTGGAAGGAATGGTTTCAACAAGAGGGAATGTGTACAGTTTTGGAATCGTAGTGATGGAAACATTCACAAGAAGGAAGCCAACAGATGAGATGTTTAGTTGTTTCTTGTGCTTGTTGCTAGAAGTGATCTTCTGCTCTTGGTTTCATCACTGGCTGATATTTCTTGACACATTTTGGAAACCAGAACGGTAATGGTGTGCTCATGAAGCATTGTTGAAAGATAAACAATCTAATGGGGAAGCAAGGGTCCCCAAGAAGTCCACGTCCTGAGCCACAGATTGATGACGACTTATCGTCAGGGACTAAAGACTATGATCCTTCTAATGTTGGTAGGAGAATGCCAGGGGGAGATAACCATTTGAATTCCAAAATGTTGTTGCTTCATGGTCTGAGAAATGATTCTGTGAAATATACTACTTGTAAGGGGAGTTTTGTGGGGAAAAAGCATTTGTGGCTTCTAAAGGACGTCCGTTCAATCATTTTTGTGTTTGCTCTGATGGGTTTCCTTCTCCTGCTTGATTCTTTTCTGGTGTCCATTTTTGATTCTATGGTTCTTCAGAATAGTTCAGCTATAAGAAAACTTCCTGTCCTTAAGGTACGACATTTGATCATACTGTATGCATGCTCCTTTTACTAATTAGCAGTCAAAATTAGCAGCAATCACTCTAAGCATACTTCCATATATGTTGTGAGTATTGGTTAAAGCTACAAATATATATCTTCATTCACAGGTTCAAGGATGAGTCCCCTTTCCTCCATTATTCATATTTCTAGCTTTTCTGTTTACCAACTCATGAATATGCAATCGGATGCCATTTATCATCATTTTTAATCCGTTACAATTGTTTCCAAAGGAGGAGGACAGGGATGCCTACCTTATGAAAGAAAAAGCACCAGTACAGATGTATGACCGACTTCTAAAGTTGGCAAAAGGCGCCCTCGCAGAGGTTTGCTTCATAACTTTATAGAATTTTGACTCGGATTTTGTTATATTTTGATTGTTGGATCTTCCTTTTTTTCTTCACCTAAATCTTTTGCTTTAGAAAGAGTTTAAGCCAGAGTTGTCAACTTTATGGAAAGAGCCATATAGGCAGGTTGCTGCATGGAAACCTTGTGCAGACAGAAAAGTTTCACCAAGCCTAGGTACCTGATTATTCTCATCCCAACTTCTTTTTCAAGTACTACCACTGATCAGATAACTAATAATGACTGTATTAAGTCTTAAATTATTTAGTGGTAAAATGTTTCTATAATTAAACCCTTCTTCCTGTTACTTAGTCAATTGCTTTTATGCTATTCCCTCAGGGAAATACAAGAAAGGTAATGGTTACATAGTAGTCAGTGCAAATGGTGGTCTCAATCAACAACGAGTTGCTGTAAGTATTCAACTTGCGATATGATTGCCTTATGTATGCTAAAAGGGCTGACCAGGCTATTTCAATTGCTCACAGATTTGCAATGCTGTTGCTGTGGCATCTCTTCTTAATGCTACTCTTGTTCTTCCAAGATTTCTTTACAGCAGTGTATGGAATGATCCGAGGTTTGAGATAATTTTCTGATCATTTTTATATATCATTAAAGCTTCAATTTGATGTGTCTCAGTAAGCCTATGTTGATGTTGCGGCTTTGAAATAATTATTGATGCATGCATAGATTCAGTGATTTGTACAGAGTATTAAGTTTGGTTTATTCATTGTAAGTGCAGCCAATTTGGTGATATTTACCAAGAAGAACATTTTATGGATGTACTGAAGGATGAAGTAAAAGTTGCCAAGGAACTCCCATCTCACTTGAAATCACTAGACCTTGAAGCAATCGGTAGCCTTGTGTAACACCCCGACCCCATTTATTTCCTATTTTAATTTAATTAAGTGAAAATATTAATTTACTCTTGGGTTAAGGGTAATTTTGGTCACTTTCGTATCCGGAAAGATTTTGGGACCATGAGTGGTGTGGTTGCGTAGGTGGTACTGAGACGAAACCGTAGACAGGCGGTAGGCTTGAATTGGAGACTTAACAAAGTTTTGGCGATCAAAACTTGTTCGGTGGCAGAACCGTAATTATTTCGAAGTAAGTTTGGGGTAAAATCTGATTTTTCATTTTTCCCCCTCACTTTCTCTCTCTCTCTCTCTCTCTCTCCCGCGTCTTCTCCCCTTCGTGTCTCCTCCCTCTGCGTCAAACCCATTTCCCGTCACTGTTCACCGATCGGAAAACTCCTCACAGCCACCACCTCCGACCACCCTGTCCGACGAGACCGGTTCCGTTCGAACCGCAGCCTCTCCCTCTCTCTTCCCCGGCCAGCACAGCCCCGGAAACCTTCGGGATTCGCCGGAAAATGCAGAAAAGCTGCCGGAAGTGACAGAACTTCCAGCCGCTCGATCTCCCTCCTCCAGCCACCATTTCCGACGGGCAAGGTGAGGTTTCTCATCCATTTTCTGTGTTCTAGCTGGCTGTTGCATAGGAATCGATTGAATTGCAGGTTAAATTCATGAATTTGAAACCTAGGTTTTGGCCGGTTTTCAATTGGGCAAGGCAGGTGAAGTTGTTTTTCGTCCTGATGAGATCCTTAGGTTGTCACGAGTGCGTAGGATTTCGCGGATCTCAATTTGGATATCGTTTGACTATCGAACGGATTTCGCATATTGTGCGTTATCCGGGTTCGATAAGT